GAAGTCCCCGAATGTGGCTTGGGTCCACGTACCATACCTAGAGTCGTATTTATTGGATTTGGGCTGGGCCGATATCTTGTAAAATTTTGGGTATCAACAATTACCATGGAGATGGTGTTGTTTTTATATGTTTGTGACTATCACACTACCAACAAATGCTTGATTGCTTTAGTTGTCGGTAACATATGGGGTAAGAGTTATAGTACCAGCCTTGATCTGTTGAGAATTTAGTTATTGTTGCCTATATTGTAAATTTTGCACCCTGTATGAATGATGAAAAGTTATCAGTTTCAATAGAATAAGTAATGGAAAAGAAGAGGAAAACATAATCTAGTGCGAACCTGATTACTTTGTTGATCCAACATTTTTAGCTCATGATTGTTTTTCTGTTTTTCATTTTTTGTTATTCGATTGATTGTGTTGACTACATTGATGTTGTTGAGAACTCAATTTGTTGACTTTGGTGAGAAAATTTGTACATTGAACGGGAACAATAAGCATGAAAGAAAACGATAGAAGATGAATCTTGAGATTCGAGTTGAAAGAAAATGACAAAAAAAAGCTTAAGCCCACAATAATAAAAGTAGTAAAATATAAAGGATAGAAATCTTCAACAAAATTATCAACCAGGAAAAAACTGCAAAGCTTTGTCTAAAATAAGGGACAAATAAAGAAAGCAAAAAAATAACACGGAAGAGTGACAAAGGAAAAAATACAATAATTCAAAGTGAAGGTTTAAAAGATGGAAGAAAAGTGTCATAATAAAAAATATGAAATGAAAAACACAGGCAAACAAAATGCGCCAAAATGAAGGAATTAAGTAAGCAATTAATTTTGAAATTTCATTCAAATGAAAATGGCCAAAAAAGATTAAACTCATAGCAATAGAAGCATTGAAATATAAAGGAGAGAAATCTGAGGGAAAAGTCTAGAGCAGAAAAAAGATGCAAAAATTTATTGTAAAATAAGGGCTAGAATGACAGGAAAAAGAAGTTGGATAATTGAAAATAAGGCTTTGAAACAGCAAAAAAAGCTACAATCATGAGAGATATCAAGTAATCAATGAATTCTGAGATTTCATTTTGATCAAAATGAGCAAAGAAGTCCAAACTGATAGTAATGGAAGCAATGAAAGATAGAGGAGAAAAATTTCCAGCAAAATGATAAAGCAGGAAAAGGTCCTAAATTTTTTTGTAAAATAAGAGAGAAAAGAGAGGAAAAGGCAGGAGGATAATTCAAAGTAAGGCTTTAAAACAGACAGAAAAAAGAGCAAGAATCAGAAATATTAAGTGAAAATGGCAATGAAAGAAAAATTCAGTAACATAAACAAAAAGATAGTATATATGATGATTTTAGTAAAGAAGCGATAAAAGATGACAGAATAAAGATTTTAGTAAAGAAGAATAAAGAAAATCAAAATTCAAATCAGAAGGATACATTCACAGCAATTCTTGGACAAATCATATAAAACTTAACATGTCAAAATGAATTAGAATCATCATTGCTACATTAAAAAGAGAATGGCACCAAAAGATGTGAACCGAAAAAGAAAGGGAAAAAAGAGACTAAATGTAGTAATAGAAATAGGAAAGTAATGTAGTAATGAAAATAGGGAAGTAATATTTATGTAGATAAGTTTTGAATGGAATGGGTATCTCATGAAAAAAAGAAGATCAAAACAACCAACAAAAGAACAAAGTAGTGTGGTTAATCTTTTTTAGTTAAAAACTTGGACAAAATAAGAATGGAAGAAAGGAAAACATATTTGAAAACATCCTAAAAGTCACTATACCCTCTGCTCTTCCATTAAGAAAGCAGCTAGAAACAATATATATGAAGTGGAGATACGTATATAGATGTCATCAAAGAGAAAGCCAAACCAATAATGAATGTCAGTAAAATTCAGTAATGAATAAAAGATAGAGGAAAGAAAGAAGGAAAGGGAAAAAATTTATGAACAAAAGTTGTAAAACACAGATATCACATATGAATATCGCTAAAGGGAGCCAATATATCCAATATCAGGAAGAGATATTAAGGAATTGTGGATAACAGTTATGAATAGTACCTCAAACGCTATAAATATTCATTTGAATGCAATATCTGGATCAACTAAATACAAACAAAGGAAAAGAAACAATACCAAAATATCAAAAGAAAGCAATAAATGATTGATAATAAAGTAAAGCATTAAATAATTAAGGCTAGAATACAGAAGACAATAAAGTGCAAACAAAACAAACAAAGATATACATAATATATCCATATGCAACAATAGTTTTTGTAAATAAATAAAAAGATGGAACTAACATCAACTAATAACATAATAAAATCACCTACAAAGAAAAATTATAAAAGTAAAACAACATACACATTAATAGAACCACAGGAAATGAATATATTCAACATCAGAAACACATATTAAAGAATTGTGGGCAAGAATCGTTAATAATACCTGTTACACTATAAATACTTCTTCAGGTATGAAGTGTCAGCCAAGTAAATGCGAAGAAAGAAGAAGTAAGGATGTAGAAATAACATGATAAAACAGTAAAGGATGGATAATGAAGTAGAGCAGTAAATGACCGAGAGTGGAGTGGAGAAGAAAAAGAGTAAAGCGCAGGGGAAACAAACAGGAAAGTGCAGAATAGAGTCGTAGACATAACCGGTTTTTATAAATGAAAAGGAGGAAAACAATTAGCAAAAGTACATATCCTATAAAAGCCTCATATGTAAGAATAGAGCAGCAGTTTCCAGAGGATATAAATTAATATTGGTTAATCAGATGATAAGAGCAGTCCATTAAGGCGGTGAAGAAAATAAAAGAAGAAATAAAGATTAAATAGTAATCACTTGAGAAGAAGAAAAAAGTAACAAAAAAAAAGTAGGGGAAAAAATGATAGAACAACTTTTTTTTCTGCCACACATTTAACGTATCTAAGACAATAAAGCAAAAAATTATCAATCCATTTAATACCTCAGCAACAAAATGAGGACAGGTCAACAAGTTAAGCAGACAAAGCACTATCTTAAACAGTACAAATGAGTAAATTAATAAATGCAAAAGGAGATTACAGAACGATCGATACACTGCATGGAATGAAGGAGGGAACAAAGAAAAATATCTATATTTTGTTGGTAAAAGTTAAAGAAAGCAACCACCGAATGAAAAACCCAGTAAAAATGCAAAGAAATTTAGTTCAAGCGGGAACCACAAAAGATAGTTATGAAAAATAAAGGAAAAAAATACTATAAGCAAAAAATGAAAAAGAACATACAACATGCACTTCAGTAAAAGGACGAATGAAACCAAACCAGGAGCATGAATCAACCTAATAAAGAATGAGCCAAGAACAGTGCAAAAGCCCTGCATGAAAACCATATTAAACAGAAAAAATTTCCATCAAAACCGCAAAAAACTAATCACCAATGGAAAGTTCGGCCACGAGGTCTGAATATTAAGTATGAAAGAAAGAACTATCCAACAACCCAAAATGAAGAACAAAAACTAATTAGCAATGAACAATGAAGCAGTAGAGAAGCAAGAACAAACAAAAGGTCCTAATTTTGACGAAAATCAAATAAAACACCGAAAAAGAGGCCAAGGGTTTAAGAAAAAATCGCCACGGCAAACTCCCAAAGAAAGCCAAAGAATGAACTATGCAACAACCCAAAACGAAGAACAAATGAAATCCCCAATTTCCAGCCAAATGATTTGTAAGAGAACGAAAGGAAACAGACGCAAAGGATGGAACCATCAAGAAGAGCATAAGGCAGAAAGGAGAAGAGCATAAGGCAAAAGGGCTAATTTGGGCGGAAAATACAGCAAGGCCCATCACAGAAGAAGAGCAAATGAAATAAGTGAGGGCAATATGGGAATCGTACTGTTCATTGCATTGTACAATGAACAATGATTTCCTTTCTATCTCCGTTTGGTTCATGGATTATAACCATGAGATTAGAACCATTTTTTATTTACGTGTGTTTTTTGTGAAAGAAAATACTGTAGCGAACCATAAACCATGATTCGAATTAGAGAACGAATCCTCCAACCAAACGGGCTGGTATATATAATAATGTGTTTCTAAATCTGAATTTACCTTTAATTGGCTTATTTAGGCATCACTCATTTCACCGATTCGAGTTTTCAGTTTTAGATTTTTACAGTTAAAAACTCTAAAAAAATATCGCATTTAATTTTTTTTGTTGCAATTAAAAGTACTCATAAAATGTCATATTTCAGCTCGAATTAAAAATTTGAATCCGCAAAGCGAACAAAACTTTATTAACTTTTCTAAAACATTGACCTATTAATTTTAATTCCTCCTAATGCTATGTTTGGTAAGAAGGAAAGAAAATAGGATAGAAATGAAATATGTAAGTGATGGAAAATAGCAATGATGGAAATGAAATTGATTTTCTTTTATGTTGTTTGGTATGAGAAGATGGAAAGAAAATGAGCTTACCTTCACTTGTTTGGTATTGAAAGTTAAATTGGGAGGAAAGAAAAAATCTTACTCATAAATTACTTTTATACCCTTAAATTTTTTGCTTTGATGTTGATGGAGAAAATGGTAGTTTAGTAACTTTACTCACTTTAATGAGTTGTCCCCATTTTTCATCACATTTTCTGCCCACTTGTGAAAAGAAAAAAAATAACGGGACTCACATGTATTATTTTCTACTCTATTTTCTCTTTCTTTTTCTTTTCTTTCCTACCAAACAACCTATATTTTCATTTTTCCTCCCAAAATTCCTCCACCTTCTTCTTTCCTTCTACTTTTCTTTCCTACCAAACATACTCTAATCTCGCCTAATTTCCTCATTCTCCCTTTTCCATTGCAATTTCAGAAAAATGGGCTGAGCCCAAACATTCAAATAATCCCGGCCCATAAACTTCCCACGATGGTTGGAGGGGGTCCAACCTCGGCCCACCAAAATCAACTCCTTTCAAAACTCCGGACTCCAAAACCCTTCATTGCTTCTTCTTCCCAAACCATCCCACAAAAAGAAACACCATTCCCCCAGAAACAAAAACATCCATGGAAGACGATAAACCAGAACACGACCACGACCACGAACACGAACACAGCGATTCCTTCAACAATGGCTCCGACATCTTCCAACAGCTCATGGACCGCTACTCCAAGTCGGCGGCCCCGCAGCACCGCCACCTCCTCGGCACCGCCGCCGCCATGCGCTCCCTCCTCGCTGCCGAGTCCCTCCCTCTCACTCCTCCGGCCTACTTCGCCGCCGTCATTTCCGCCGTCGATGAGGCCGCGTCCTCTCCCCAACCCCTGGACCTCACCGCCGTCGCCGCACTCCTCTCCTTCCTCGCGATCGTCCTCCCCCTGGCGCCGCCTCGGGGGATCGACGCCGCGAAGGCGAGCGAGGCCGTGAAGGTCCTGGTGAGGCTCTTGGAGAGGGAGAAGGAAGGGCTCGCCGTGGCGACCGTCAGGGCCGGGGTCAAGTGCTTGGGGGTTTTGGTTGGGTTCTGCGATTTGGAGGATTGGAATTCGGTGAAATTAGGGTTCGAGACGCTCATAAAGTTCTCCGTCGATAGGCGTCCCAAGGTAAGTTTGAGTTGTATTGCTGTATTGCCGGAATAAAAGGCTTTTCATTGGTTATTGTTGCTGCTGCTGTTGTTGTTGTTGTTTTTTTTCCCCCCTCTGTTTCCTCCAAGCTAATCTTCTAGGACCTTTTTTTATGCACATTGTGAACAAGTAGACATGAAACTGAAATATCAATTGCTAAGAGTGAAAAAGCTGGGACAAAGCAATTATTTCAGTTTTACAGAACCTACAGAATAGTGCATTCTTGATGGTTGTTGATTAATCAGGAATCATGATGTGTATCATTGCTATTGCTTGTGGTGTTAATATCCTCGCATGAAACTCGTTCATGTGAATGTGGACTTGGGACATAGCATATAGGCCAATTGCTGAAAATGCTTAGTATACATTGCAGTATTTATGGTGGTGTTTCTTTGTATGTTGGAAAGGCTAAATGGCAACACTGGTAATCGTCCTTATTAGTTTTTCAACTAGCAAGAAATTGAAAATGTATGGGACTTGTGTCATAATTAGTAGGCCGGTCTCAAAGTTGACATTTCAATATGTGTAAGTATGGTCTCTGGTGATATATAGCATTCCTCTATTATGTACGAAGTGGGAATAAAGTCTTACATATGGTGACAATTGGTCGATGTTCAAACCGAGTCGTTAATTGTCTTATGGTAATTTAAATTTGTTGTAGAAATGGCGTGAACATAATATAGTAGAATTGATGATATAAAGCTCGAGGGTTCATCGATTGACATTTCAATATGTGTAAGTATGGTCTCTGGTGATATATAGCATTCCTCTATTATGTACGAAGTGGGAATAAAGTCTTACATATGGTGACAATTGGTCGATGTTCAAACTGAGTCGTTAATTGTCTTATGGTAATTTAAATTTGTTGTAGAAATGGCGTGAACATAATATAGTAGAATTGATGATATAAAGCTCGAGGGTTCATCGATAGACTCACTATCGAATCATGTTTAGGACTCCCTTTTCCATGCATCAGCCTTTTAGGTGGCCATGCGCTTTCTTGATATTGGGCTATTGCAGTTTGAGGTGCTTTTACTTATAGAATTCAGCTTATTGTCAACTTGTATTACTTTTCACGTCTGATAAGGCTTGTGCAAGTAACTTAAGAATCATGACTTATGATATATTTTCTGTATTCAATAATTAATGTGTAATATTAACTTCTTTTCTTGGTACAGGTAAGGAGGTGTTCTCAAGAATGTCTTGAGAAGGTTTTTAAGTCAATCACTTGCTCTGCTGTTACTAAGGAGGCAAGCAAGTTGGTGATGTCCATGCTTAAAACTTACATGCCTTTGGCAGGTGAACTTGGTAAATCAGGGGCTTTGGCTGGATCGAAAGATGATATTTTGTCGGAACCTAAAAATGTGGAGGTCTTCCACATGCTAAATATGTTGAAGCTTATCGTTCCTTTTCTCTCCATGAAAACAAGGTCCAAAGTTCTTTCAGAAGTAGATAAGATTATGAAAAGTCAGTTCTCAGCATTTACAAGGCACATTCTCAAAACTATTGAAACATGTTTTGAAACCTCAAGTGTTGATGCTATTGCACCAAAGACAGAGAAGATTGTGGTCTCTCTTTCTTCGTACGTCTCTTTGGGAGATAAAAACCCCTTGGATACTGTCATCTCTGCAACAACATTGTTAAAACGTTCTCTTGACATACTTCGTGCTGGAGAATCAAGCGCACATGTTAAGAATCTTCCCCTAGTTTTTGATTCCATTGCAGGTATTTTCTTGCCTTTTTTGTTCATAAAGATTAAATGAGACAACTGGACGCATATCTTTATACGTTAAATAAGTTGAATATATATGCTTTTCTTTTCATATAGACAAAAATGTGCATTGTTGATGAATTAGCTTTGTGGCTTTTGTTGTGTTGATGACTATGTAGTATTACGAAAATGTTGATATTGTTCAGAACTTCTCTAATCCATGTTCTCCATGCTGATCTAGGTCTTCTGACCTCCGAGGCTTCAATTGCATCACATGCTGCAACTATATTGAAAGAGCTAATAAGTCATCATTTGGACCAAAGAAGTCTACCGGTTGATGATAATCAACCATTGGAAGTTGAAGGAGAGGAGAACATTGGAGCAAGTGCAATACAATCTGCATGTGCTATCTTGGAGAATTCTCTTATGACTTCTGATGGAAAACCCAATGAGTATATTTTGGGGGTCATATCTGCTTTGTTCCTTAAACTTGGTAAGTATACATGATTACTTCACATGCTTACAATACAATACAACCATATTTTGTTCTGTCTTTCTCTCTCTTTCTCCCTTCTCTCAAGTTGGTAAAGTGGGATGTGTAGTGTGTGCATTGATAAATTAAGTTTATTGCATCAGTGACTTATTTGGCACTTGTAAAATACAAGGTGCTTGCTATCGATTGGGTTTTGATTGATTATTCATATAATTTATTTTCCGAAATTACTCTTATTTAACAAAATAATTCCTGCATTAGTTTTATCTGATTATTCATATAATTTGTTTTCTAAAGTTGATCATGTTTGGAGAGAAATTGCCTCCTATTAGCATAACGTAATGGTTGCATTTTCAAGTACTATGTATTTGCAGAATTGGTCAATAATCGGTGAAGTGCGAACTGATGTCTACTTATTCTTTGTTTTTTGCAGGAAGGATCTCTTATTACTATATGAGAAATATTCTCCTCAAACTTGCTGACCTGATGAGCCTTGCTAGCAAGGCTAAATCTAAGACTTATCATGTAAGTAGGATTGAAGTCCTCTTTCTTCATCCTGATTTTAAATGTACACGTGAGCAAAAATGATTGATGTTGCTTCTGTCATCATATTCAGCTTGAGAATTGTATTGGAGCTGCAGTATTTTCTATGGGACCAGAGAAGTTACTAATGCGTGTGCCTATAACCCTTAATGCTGGCGATTTTACTTGTGCAAATATTTGGTTGGTTCCAATCTTGACGAAGTATGTTGTTGGAGCATCGTTGGGGTATTACATGGAACATATCATGCCTCTTGCAAAATCCTTTCAAAGGGCAAGCCGTAAAGGTATTTTCTCAACCTTAATTTGGAACATATTATCTTTCTTTTAGACATGGGGGCCTAGGTACTTCTTTTTTTTTTTTATCCATGCGGCCAATTGGATTATAAAAAAAAAATCACCATCTTTGGAACTCACCTGTGTTTTTCGTTCTCCTTTTGGCTCTTCTCTTATTTCAGATAAAAGGGCAACACGTGGTCAAAATCTACAAGATCATGCCCGTGACTTACGGGGATTGCTCCCTGCTTTTTGTCGGTATCCAACTGATCTGTACCAAAATTTTCAACTTCTGGGTGACGTTTTGATTAAGTTTCTGAAGGAGGACTCATCTATGCATGAAAACGTTGCTATTTCCTTACAGGTGATATCTATTTCGCTACTATATTTTTCTTATGCTATTTCCTTTCATGTTTATTGAGGATTCCTTAATCTCTTTCCTTTGTGTTTAACTTTATCAATGAAAGGAAGTTTTCTTATGAAGAAATAGTAGAATTTTATTTATTTATTTATTTTAAGTTATGTTTTGCGCATTTTCTGTTACATTTATATTATTCACAACTTTTAATTCATCTATTTTAATCTCCATTTCTCTTTTTTATGCAGGTTCTTGTCAATCAAAACAAACGTGCGCTGACCCAAAAAACTGACGCTGGTGGGTCAAATTCCTCTGAAGTGAAAGAATCCATAAAAGAGTTCGGCAATCTACCAACTTATTCAAAAAAAATTGCTTCAAAAAATATAAAGGCTCTATCATCGTATTCCACTGCATTGCTTCAGGCTCTGGCAGGCTTATATATTGAGTCACCCCCCGGGAAGCGCTCAATTTTAAAGGTTTTCCTCCCATTTTCAAAATCTTCTCTGTTGAATTCAGTATCACCTATATAGTGATATATATGAGATGGAAGTTGGCTATGAAGATCATGTATAAAATTCACAAAATTGATGATATAGATTTTCACCCTACCTCTATATGAGATGGAAGTTAGCTATTTTGCAGGACGCCGTTGGATGCTTGGTTTCTATTACTGATTCTTCCATAACCAAAGAGATTCTCATATCATTTTTTGAGCATTTTAAGTTCATTGATGATGAGGGTGAATTTGTAAATCCGGAGAATGGAAAAGCATTGATTGATAAAGATGAAGGGCATCCAAGTACTTTGGTGAAGGATGCTGAAAGGTAATCAAACTTTATTTGTGTTCAACATCTTATTAAGCGGCATATGTGTTAAAAAAAAACTTCTATCAGTTCGTTTGTTTCTTTATTTGTTTTTCAGTTTGGATGCTGATTCTCAATATAATATTAGTGAGTTAATGCGGTTTCTGCAGTTAGTTAGTTAGTATGGCCAGTATGGGTTGGTTAATCATTGAAATAGTATACGCATGCTGTTAGGAACCTAATATTTAGAGTCTTTTTGAATAGTCTTGAGGATAGTATAAATAGGGGGTTTAGTTGCTAGGGAGAGGAGGATGAGATTTGTAGAGTGTCTAGTGCTGTGCACTATTTTTGAGGTCAGGGGTCCTCGAAACCACTCATCTATCTTGTAATTTTCCATTTCTAGTGTTGTTAATGAAGCTCAGATTTTCGGGATCCTAACAATGGTATCAGAGCATCTACGATCCATGGAGCTTTTTGAGTTTAGAGAGAAACTTAGGGCTGTTCTAAGAGCTAATCTCAAGGTTTCTGGAGGGAGTATGGGGGGGCTCCGAGACCAGGTGGGGAAGGTTCAGACTCAGATGGAAGACGTGCAGGCGGTGCTGTGGAGGATGGAGGCACTGCTGGTGGTGCGGCCGATGGCCGGGAAGGCCGAGTTGGGTCGCGACGGCGAACGACGGGACGGGGAGAGGCGAGATCGCGTGCCTCGGGGCGAGGAGAGCCCAGATTGCATCGACCCAGGCGGAGTGGAGGTGCCAAATCGGGCGGATCTTCGCCGGGAAGCGCCGATTCGCGAAGATTGAGGCCGCGAGAGGGAGTTCCGACACCAGAGAGACATGGGTCTCATGGAGGAGCGCGAGATCCGTTGCGATCTGGGGCTGGGTGGTCCAGATTTGCAGCGTGAGGGGTTGTTCGACGACGAGAGGAGGGCGGACGGAGGTCGTGACCGTCGGGAGAGGGCGGCGGAGCTTGTTCGGCGACGGGAATCGGAGTGGGAGCCGGAGTAAGGCTTGCTCTGGGGCTGGGACAGCATGGGTACCCTCGGAACAGGGAACCCATCCCTGTTTCGGTCGCGGTTGGGGCTGATTCCGGACTGATTTGGACCGGGCCTCGTGATTCCGGCGTGAAAGGGGCTGATTCCGATGCTACGGAGACAGATCCTGGCGCGGCGGAGGCTGGGCTCGACGATTTGGCTGCTGTTTGGATAGGGCCTCACGATTCCGGCGTGAAAGGGGTTGATTCCGGTGCTACGGAGGCAGATTCCGGCGGGATTGTAGTGGAGTCCCGCAATTCCAACACCATTAAGGCTGATCCCGGTGAGATTGGTGTTGTTTTCGAAAATTCCGGCCAAATTTGGAGCAGGTCTCGTGATTCTGACGTTGTTGAGGTTGTTTCTGGGGAGGTTGGGGCTAATTCTAGCGAAGGTAAGGCATGGTTTTGGAATTCCGGAACTATTGAGGCCACCGTTAGCGATTTGGGGGCTGTGTTCCCAAGAGTGTGGACTGGGCATCGTGATTCAAGAGTGTGAACTGGGTCGATTTTGGCAGGGTTAGGGTTGGACATCGTAATTACAACAATATTGGGCTTAGCTCTGGTGCAATGGTGGTTGGGCCTCAAAATTCCAACACATTTACGACTGGGTAGCTGAGAAGGAAACTTCTTTGTTAATGATGGATTTGTCAAAAGCTTTTATGGTCATTGATAAGCTTGATTAGGGGGCTCCAACTAAATTGGTGGACTTTGTGGCTGCTTTCCAAGATACAATGAAGATGAAGAAGAAAGTAAATTGAGTGGCTCCAATTTGAAGACGTGTCTTACAAAGACAACATCAATTTGGGGACTCAAATCGAGGAACTAACAAAGCCTTTTGTTCTCAATCATTTAGATGTTATTTTTCAATTTTATTTCTTGATTTTCACCTTGAGGACAAGGTGATTCTTTGGGGCGGGGGTAATGTTAGGAACCTAATATTTAGAGTCTTTTTGAATAGTCTTGAGGATAGTATAAATAGGGGGTTTAGTTGCTAAGGAGAGGAGGATGAGATTTGTAGAGTGTCTAGTGCTGTGCACTATTTTGGAGGTCGGGGGTCCTCGAAACCACTCATCTATCTTGTAATTTTCCATTTCTAGTGTTGTTAATGAAGCTCAGATTTTCGAGATCCTAACACATGCTTTGGCCTACTTATGATAGAAGGACTATACATTTCCAAGTACTAATTGATTATCTTCTTTTGTTTTCACTTCAACTAACTGGATATAGTTGTCTTTGGTAATTTCTTTTGAAATTCTCGCTCAGCCGGATCTTATGATTTAAGAAATCCAGCATGATAAGGCTTTTCTATTAACCAGCATGATAAGGCTTTTCTATCATAAGAATATAAAGCGGAGTGTTGGAACCAAATAAGAAACATTGTTTTGTCCTGCGACTCCAAAGCAGCTTTCTCCGCTAATGTCAGCACCACATTTGAAGCTCTTAATAAGATTTAAATCGTAATACTTGGAGTTCATCGTTCACTGGGTGCCTATAAGGGGGGAAAATATTCAAGGAGTAAATGATGAGTCCATTTCCTTGGAAAAACTTTCTTGATCATGCGTTTGTGAAAAGTTTCATAATCCTATTACTTTTACAGATGTTCTATTATGGAGCTCGCGTCTTCTCTTGTTGGAGGGGCCAAAGCGGACCTAGTTGATCTCATCTATAAATTTGTTAAGTACAGTTTTCAGGTATATTAGCGTGTTAAATACTTATATGCATCGCTCCATTTTACATGGTTCGTGCTTATTGTTACTAAAACTATGCATGTATACTTGGTTTTTAGGTTACTGATGGGATTGGTGATCAGCAAACATATCACACTTTAAGCAGAATTCTGCAGGTCTGTCTTTACCTGTTTCTTCTTCTTATAGGCTTTTGTGGTATTTTTTCTAATGGAATGGTGCGGGAACATGCTTGTTTGTTCTTCCCAATTTCTTGGACTGATTGCTTTCTTGTTAGGTCTTCTTCTAAAAATTTTTTGTTTTATATTTTTCCAATGGATGGTGCAGGAACATGCTTGGTTTTGTTCTTCCCAGTTTGTTGAGCTGATTGATTCTTTATTAGACTTTAAATCTCCTACTGACGTTCCTACTCTAAGGAGTCGCTTTGCTTGTTTCCATCCTTTAATGGTTCACCTACTGAAGGTCAGACCTATTCTTCTGCTTTGCTAACATACTCTTCTGTTTGCTTTACTAAGACTTGCTCTTCTTCACAATTATTGATTTATAGTTTTGAAATAGGGTTCTATGCAACTCTTTTTGTTGTTGCAGAGTTGCTATTTTTAGTTCTCATACTATTAATTAAGCAAGCGTTCATGATAGAAAATAGAAATGTTTGGAACGGAGAGAAGCCTTATTATCATTCTTGCTTTGGCTTTGTTCCTTTCTATGTCTCTAGGTAGCACTTCCCATCTTTTAGTTGTAGTTTATGTACTTCTCCATATGTTTTTTCTCTTACCTCATTTGGTAAATGAAAATCACATTTGAAAACCCTATTCTCTATCAACCAAATATTAATTAGAACCTTTCTAATTTCTTTTAACGTCTAAAAATGAAAGTGGAGTTTTGGAAGATATTGGCGGACTATACCATTTAGTGACCTTGGGGTGATGGGTCAGTGATGGAAACCTCTAGATTAATGAAGGACGAATTACACACTCAGGTGATTTTTCGAGAGAATCACTGCCTCTCCTCACAATTCTACACAATCCAAAAGTCCCTAACTTCTAGGAGCCCCTGCTTATTTATAGACTCTGCTAACAAACTAACAACTCTAACAACAACTAAATTCAGTTATTACAAGAGAAGCTTTCCCAGCAAGATTGCTGAAAGCTTTCTCTACAAGACTCTAAAATAACCAGCCCTACTTATTCAATTCCACGTCATCATCACTTATTTTCTAACGTTTCTTCCTCCTGCTATACACCAACAATTCCCGGTTCCCATCATCACCCTCCCCAAGTGCAAGAACCTTGTCCTCAAGGTTCAAGTCAGGAAACTGGGCAGACAACAACTCCCACGACTCCCAGGTGCTGTCACATTCAGGAAGATCCTTCCATTGGACCAGAACCTCAAGAGAGCCATCCAACAACTTCCGAGACTGAAGCAAGGCTGCGGGCTCAACTGCCAACTCCATGTCCTCTCAAGGCAGCCGGAAACTGCTACACAGGCGTAGAAGGCTGTAACACCTTCCGTAATTGGGACACATGGAAGACATCATGAATGCGCGCAAAAGACGGAAGTTGTTTACGGTATGCAACCTCACCAATCCGCTCCAACCACCAAAAATGGCCCATAGAAGCGAGGACTTAACTTTTCATTGTGTCGACGGGCCAGCGACCGCAGCCGATAAGGCTGGAGCTTCAGGAAAACCTAATCGCCAACCCCAAATTGAACATCTCGGCGCTTCTTGTCTGCATACAACTTCATCCGCTGTTGGGCAGTAGTCAAACGCTCCTTCAACTCCCGAAGTATGTCACTTCGGTCACGCAACTGATGATTAACAGCCTCCACCGCCGAGCTACCGTTCTCCCAACGGAATAGAATAGGGGCCTCACGACCATACAAAGCGCGAAAGTGTGTCATGCCAGGCGAACTGTGGAAGGTAGTGTTGAACCCAAACTCAGCCCATCCTAACCAATTAGGCCACTGACGTGGTTTGTTACCACAAAAACACCTCAAATAATCCTCCAAACTCCAGTTAACCACCTCTGTCTGTCCATCAGTTTGCGGATGGTAAGCAGAGCTCATACGAAGCTCGGTACCAGCCAGTCGAAACAGCTCCTTCCAAAAGTGACTGATGAACACGCGATCCCTGTCAGAAACAATAGAATGCGGAAAACTATGCAAATGGACCACCCCCTGCACAAAAACAGCCGCCACTTCCCGAGCTGTAAATGGGTGGGAAAGTGCGAAAAAATGCTCATATTTGGTGAGGCGATCCACCACCACCAAAATCTTATCACACCCCAAGGCCTTAGGCAAACCCCTAATAAAGTCTAAAGACACATCATCCCAAACTTGCTCCGGAATTGGCAAGGGTTGGAGTAATCCGGCCGGTTTCAGGGCATCATACTTCACCTTCTGGCAAATGTCGCATTCAGCGACCAAGCGCTGGATATCACGTTTCATCCCTTCCCAAAATAGGACGGCCGCCAAGCGCTTATAAGTATGAAAGAATCCGGAATGACCTCCCACGGTTGAGGAATGAAACTCACGAAAGAATTTGGGAACTAAAGGAGATTGCTGTGGTAACACCAACCTATTTTTGAAATAGAGCCGGCCACCTTTGAGTTGATAACCGGCTTTGAATTGAGGGTCTAACAAAAGCCCTTGAACAATCAGCCGCAACCTATCATCCTTCTGCACCGCTTCTTCAATAGCCTCCAAGTCTCGCATGTGCACAACAGAAAACACTTGCAGATGAGGTTCCTCGTGTTTTCTGGAGAGGGCATCAGCCACCCGGTTATCCCGCCCCGGTTTATATTGGATTTCAAAATCCAAACCAATGAGTTTACAAATCCACCGTTGCTGAGCCTCATTCATGATTTGCTGTTCGAGAAGGAACCTCAAACTACGTTGGTCTGTCCTCACTATAAAATGCCTCCCCAAAAGATAATGACACCATTTTTTTGTGGCCAAAACAACCGCCATGAGCTCACGCTCATACACAAACTTGGAACGACCACGATCGGAGAGTGACTGGCTGATAAAGGCAATAGGCCGATTGTCCTGCATCAAAACCGCCCCCAATCCGCGTCCAGAAGCATCAGTCTCAATGATAAAAGTTTTGGTGAAGTCCGGTAAGGCGAGCACCGGAACAGTGACCATCCGCTGTTTTAACTCTTCGAAAGAACTCTGGGCTTCCGAAGTCCACAAAAACGCATCTTTTTTAAGGAGGCATGTTAAAGGCTCAGCCACCTTCCCATAATCTCTCACAAAACGCCTGTAATAGCCGGTAAGGCCTAAAAATCCCCGTAGATCCCGAATGGTCTTGGGCACGGGCCAATCAACCATGGCAGCAATTTTTTCCGGATCGGTTTGAACCCCAGAATCTGTGATAATATGGCCCAAATATTCCACTCGTGGCTGCCCAAAAACACACTTTTTCTTGTTGGCCACTGATGGAAACCTCTAGATTAATGAAGGACAAATTACACACTAAGGTGATTTTTCGAGAGAATCACCGTCTCTCCTCACATTTCTACACAATCCAAAAGTGCCTAACCTCTAGGAACCCTTGCTTATTTATAGACTCTCCTAGATTGACTAACAGCTTCTCCTACAAGCTACAAGCTAACTCTTAACAACTAACTAAATTCAGTTACAAGTCCCTGTCCACGTCAGCCACTAACCATCCAGTAACCAATCCTTTATTGTTTCTTTCTTTCTTCTACCATAGTCTAGCAGCGTCTAGTTCTTATCATTACCCCCCCATTCACAAGAACCTTGACCTCAAGGTTCAAGTGACCTCTCTGTGCTCCGCCGTTTGTCCCCCCGGTGCTTCCTCAACTTCAACATCAGTTCCAGCCCCATCATTTTCATCTACCGCTGCGATAAGAACCTGTAGTTGGGGGTTCTTATAGACGTGGCCGAACTGCCATTTCTCCTCACACCGGAAGCATAAACCTCATTCCCTTCGCCACTGCATTTCAGCATCCGAAATCGTCCTCTTGAAATTTTCATTGTTCCATGTAAAGTGAGGGGAATTGGGAAGCTGATTCTTGTTGACTGAGACGTTGGAGTGAGAAGAGTTAGAACTAGTGCGTGTCACTCCCGAAACAACTTCAATACCCTCTGCAGTCTTTAGTGGAATTCCACTAATGCCACCGACTGGAATCCCACTAGTGCCACCGATTGAGTAATTGGAATAACCCCCCACCGCTGATTTCCTTAGTCCAAAAGAGTCCCCAATTCTAGAGATTTCAGCCCCTCCAACATTCGGTATGGACCTGGACACTTGGGCTCTTTCAAGGGCCCAATTCTTCTCCTCAATTTTTTGGGCCAAATCCAACAGCTGGACGAGAGAGACAGGCTTCACCATACGAACTTCTGCCTTGATTTCCTCGGCCAGTCCATTCGAGAAGGCTCCCATTAGAAACTCCTCGTCGGCTTCTCTCAAAGGGGACGAGAGCAGCTCGAATTTCTCACGAAATTCAGCCACCGATGAGTCTTGTCGCAAAGCAATCAAGGCTTCGTAATGGTTGCCAGTTTGCGAAGACTTGAACCGCTGTATCACGGATTCCTTGAATCTCAGCCATGAAATGTGACCAGATCTGGATTCCAACCACTGGAACCAGTTCAGCGCCTTCCCTTCAAGACCGATAATCGCCGCCGCCACTCGTTCCGCCTCCTCGACGCCTTGGACCTAGAAATATCGCTCAAGCCGAAACAACCAGCCAAGCGGATCATCGCCGCTAAAAAGGGGAATTTCCATTCGGCGAAATCTTGATTCTCCGCCGCTCGGTGCTGAACCATGATCGGGGTGAAACGCTGCCGCCGTCGCGCCACTGCCTTCAACGTCGTTTGAAGCAAAAGCCCTAGCCTGCTCTGCCGGTGGATTCACGCCGTTCCCCGACCTCATCCAATCGGTAAGCTCCTTCATGTACTCCTTCACAGCTCCCATGTCTGCCGAAAGCTATCCGACAACTCCTTTGAGTTCTCCGATGTCTTTCTCCAAAACTTCCACTCTTCCGTCCATTTTTCCAACTTTTGAAGCAACCATTCCCAATCGGAACAGCTCTGATACCAATTTGATGGAAACCTCTAGATTAAGGAAGGACAAATTACACACTAAGGTGATTTTTCGAGAGAATCACCATCTCTCCTCACAATTCTACACAATCCAAAAGTGCCTAACCTCTAGGAACCCCTACTTATTTATAGACTCCTAGATTGACTAACAGCTTCTCCTACAAGCTACAAGCTAACTCTTAACAACTAACTAAATTCAGTTACAAGTCCCTGTCCACGTCAGCCACTAACCATCCAGTAACCAATCCTTTATTGTTTCTTTCTTTCTTCTACCATAGTCTAGCAGCGTCTAGTTCTTATCAGCCACCAATTGGTGTTGCTTTAGCAATTCAAAAACACATCTCAGGTGCTGCATATGGGAAACCCAATCCTTACTATAGACAAGAATATCCTCAGCAACTACTTCTTCTTCTTCCTCCTCCTCTGCCGCAATAAGAACCTGGAGTTGGGGATTTTTACAGGCATGACCGACTCGCCATTTTTCTTCACATTGGAAACATAACCCCCTCTCTCGCCTCCGTTGCATTTCAGCATCAAAAATCCTCTTCCTGAAATTCTCATTTCTTCCAGTCGGCTGAGATGAAACATGAATAGGTTCCTTGTTGACCAACACGTTGGATTGAAGAGAGCCGCTGCGTGTCACTGTTGCACTACCTCCTTCAGTCGATTTGGGTGGTATCCAGCTGGAACCACTTTCCAGAGGACCTCCCCCCGTCACTGAGCTTCTTACACCGCCATAATCCCTCGAAAATCCACTACCTTCCTTACTCGAGTTGGGTCTAAAGGCCCGTTTCATGTGGGCCTGTTCTAGGGCCCAATTTTTTTCCTCAATCTTTTGGGCCAAGTCCATCAATTGGACAAGGGAGGCAGGCTTCACCATACGAACCTCTGCCTTGATTTCTTCGGCCAGACCATTCGAGAAAGCTCCCATAAAAAACTCCTCGTCGGCTTCTCTCAAGGGAGACGAGAGTAGCTCAAATTTCTCACGAAATTCAACCACCGGCGATTCCAGTCGTAAGGTAATCAAGCTTCGTAATGATTGCCCGTTTGTGAAGACCTAAATTGCTGAATCACAGATTCCTTGAATCTCAGCCACAAGATGTGACCAGATCTGGACTCCAACCACTAGAACCAATTCAACTCCTTCCCTTCGAGGCCAATCACCGCTCCACCCCTCTTTCCACTTCCTCGACGCCTTGGACCTGGAAATATCGTTCAAGACGGAACAGCCACCCGAGCGGATCATCACCACTGAAAAGAGGGATTTCCATCCGGCGAAACCTTGATTCTCCGCCAATCGATGTTGATCCATGACCGGGGTGAAACGCCGCCGCCGCCGCCTTCTACATCGTTCGAAGCAGAAGCCGTAGCCTGCTCTGCCGATGGATTCGCGCCGTTCCCCGACCTCATCCAATCGGTAAGTTCCTTCATGTATTCCTTCACAACTCCCATGTCCATCGAAAGTTGTCCAACAACTCCCTTAAGTTCTCCGATGTCCTTCTCCACCATATCCACTCTGCCGTCCATTTTTTCAGCCCTTGAAGCGACCATTCCCAATCGGAACAGCTCTGATACCAATTTGATGGAAACCTCTAGATTAATGAAGGACGAATTACACACACAGGTGATTTTTCGAGAATCACCGCCTCTCCTCACAATTCTACACAATCCAAAAGTCCCTAACTTCTAGGAGAAACTAACAACTCTAACAACAACTAAATTCAGTTATTACAAGAGAAGCTTTCCCAGCAAGATTGCTGAAAGCTTTCTCTATAAGACTCTCAAATAACCCTACTTATTCAATTCCACGTCATCATCACTTATTTTCTAGCGTTTCTTCCTCCTGCTATACACCAACAATTCCCGGTTCCCATCAGTCAGTAATCTGAATTTTAGTGCGTCCAAATGGTAATGGACAATTCTGGTAAGTTTGTTGTCCACTTAACCAGTTTTTAGAGCCCATCGATGAACTTTGGCAATTCTGGATGAAAGATATTGAGCCTATTCTGTGTGCAAGTTGTAATTGTTCTGTTTTGATGCTGCATTACTTATTCCCTGTAAAGATATACATTCGTCTTTTCCATATTTACATGAAGCTGCAACCTGTTATCTAAGATTTGAATGGCAATTCATTATTTTTTTCCCTTTTTTATTTAAATATTTTAACTGGTTCTTGCAGATAGATTCAGAGGAAGAAAATGCAAAGGCTTTTCAAATTGTCAATGAGATCATACTCACTTTGAAGGACGTAAGAGCTATGTATAAGAACTCTGTCGTTGTACTTTCCGTTTGCAGTTAATTTTAGTTTGTCTGCTGCTGTTTTTGTTTTTGTTTCTTTTGGGGGGGGGGGGGGGGCGCACCTTTCTTTTAGTCATATGCTGCTTTAACAGTCTCTCCCCGTTATTTATTTATTTATTTATTTTTATTTTTATTTTTTCTTTGCTCTGAAGTCTTACAACCCTTTTGAATGTGTTTCACATTTAGGCCAAGGAAGAAGCAAGGAAAGCAGCTTATGATGTACTACTTGACATAAGTTCCAGTTTGAGAGATGTGTCGTCTTCTAGTTCTGAATCTTCTGAGGCACCTTACCAGAAGCTAATAACCATGGTCAGTTGACCTTGCCAAATGGACGTTGCCCCTTTTTCTCAGAGAAAAGGGGTTATGAGGTAGAGGTTGGTTTACATGTGTAATCTGCCCGAGTCTTCTTTATGGGCTTTTTGAACCGCTAGTGGGCTCCGTCAAGAAGTTTGGGTCATCCTGGTATACCAATCTCTACCCTTTTAAACCCTTATCTCTGGGAAAAAATGTTACTCTGCCTGTCCTTATCTTATGAGTTTGATTTTGATGGTTCTCTTCTGATAAGCCTTAGGCAAGTATACATTAGGAAGAATAAGAAGAATTAGAAAGCTTGTTAGGAAAGATTGTTTGTAAAGCTTGTTAAGAAAGATTGTTAGTTAGCTTGTTAAGAAAGATTGTTAGTAGGCTTGCTAAGAAAGATTGTTAGTTAGCTTGTTAAGAAAGATTGTTAGTAGGCTTGCTAAGAAAGATTGTTAGTTTCTAGTTAGTAGAGCAAAGAGAGAGAGAATAAAAGGGGGAGAGGGGAACGTAGAAAGGGAGGAAAATGTTTTAGGTTTGTCCTGGGAAAATCTTGGAGTTCATTCCAACTGGGTAGGTTACGGACCCTCGAAGTTCCGCATATCATTTGTATCAATCAGCATTGTTTTCAATAAAATCTCACTCAAATTCATCTTTTTCTCGATCTTTCCTTGCCTGCTGCGACAGAATCTATCAAGGTTCTATCATCTTCCTGCTCTGGTTATGTCACTGGTCCTTTGTTATGTCACTGGTCCTTTGCCATTGCATGCTTTATTGACTCATTGTTTTATGATTTAGATAATGGGCTATCTTTCTGGTGCATCACCTCACATTAAGAGTGGAGCAGTGTCTGTTCTATCGGTGCTGATATACAAGGATGCGAATATCCATCTTTCAATGCCTGACCTTGTTCCCTCTCTTCTACCTTTGCTGCAAGGCAAATCTCTTGAAGTTATAAAAGTTAGTATCTCAAAATGAAACAAAAATGGCTGTTTCTGTGGTGATGTTTTCTAATGTTAAGAAGCTGGTTATTGTGCAATTTTAACAGGCTGTTTTGGGCTTTATGAAAGTGTTAGCATCTAGCTTGCCAGCTCGGGACTTGCAGAATCTTCTTTCTTGTGTTGTCAAAGGAATTCTACCGTGGTCAGCTTTTTCAAGAAACCATTTCAGATCAAAGGCGTGCTACTTTCTTTCCTAGTATCTCTTGGGCATTTTATTTTTTGTGGGATATGGGGGCATGAAAATTTCAGATCAAAGGCATGAAAATTTCTTTCCTGTTTAATTTTGTCATCCGCTTAACAGAATTCTTGTTCAATATCTACAGGTTACTGTCATAATGGAGATTATGATACGTAAGTGTGGTCTTTCAGCAGTTGAGTTAGTTACCCCAGAGAGATATAGGAGTTTCGTCAAGTCCGTTGTGGAGGTAGCTTTTCCTTTTCTTTGTTGTTAGCTCATGAACCAAAATTTTTCTATACTTTTGGAGCTTCTTCTAAAAAATGCCTTTACTTGCAGAACCGCCATAACAAGACAAATTCCAAGGATGCTGCTGATAGTAATACAGAAGCAAAGCAGGATGAAACTTTTACCTCCAGGTCTAAACTTCATCGTACAGCTGAAAATATTTTGTTTATAAATTGATATTCCGTTTCTCATAAGTTTTTTCCTGTCTCTGAACGTTTTTATTTCATATTTCAGGCACAGGAATAGAAAACGCAAGGAATTGGATACAGCACATGAGAAAACTGGATCAGTGAAAAATGAAAAAGGGAAGAAGAAACACATTGCCAACAGCACTGGCACAAAAGAGTCCGATATCTCCACTGCTGCAGCTAAAGTAAGGAGATTTAGCAAAATAGAATCGTCATATACACCAGGAAGGGGTAGAAAATCGAATAAAAAGAATTTCGATAAAGGACCATGGGGTGGTCAAAAGAGGAAGATAAACATGAGCTCGAAAGACAAAGCTGATCAGAAACCAGCCAGCAGATCCACATTAGGTAAACACAGGAAGCTTGAGAAAACATAGGAGACAGCTAAACTATAGACATATCAATTATGTTAAACTATTGTCTGCAGCGAGACAATAATTCGGAGTGCTATAGTGGCTAAAGAAGATGGTTGCTCAATCTGCACAAGAATCCTTTATTTTGCAGAATTAAAGCGAGAAAGGAGAGATGCAGATTTGGCCCCTACACAAAAACAGAATTCAAAAATCTCACTGAGGATTGACTTGGTCTTCTTCCCCATTCTCTCGGACACTTACTGGAGATGAGGGCTTTGTTGATCGAGCTTAAAATTGCAGCTAGAATTTGGCTATAATGCCGAATGCAAATTTTGGTTTCATTTAGGCTTTGCTAGCTTTCATCACAGTACTGTTTTAGTATTGTAAAATTATTTATGAGGCAGAGCTTTCCCTCTGTAAACAAAAGACTCGAGTGCAAAACTACTCAATTGGGCGGATGTTTAATTTGTGATCAGTATTTCTAATTTTTAAGTCTTTAGTGCGTAAAACTAATTGGGCAATATGTACCATGTTGACTATAACATTTAAGGGAGAATTTGTTTCTCCCTTTAGATGTTGCGGAACGTTTCGCACATGGGAGGGAATGTGAGAAAAGTTTTGCAACGGTTTTTTTTTTTTTTTTTTTTTTTTTTTTTTTTTTTTTTTGGGGGTTTTTTTTTTTTTTTTTATTTTTTTTTTTTTCGTTTTTTTTTTTGCAGCGTTTTTTTTTTTTTTTTTATTTTTTTTTTTTTCGTTTTTTTTTTTGCAGCGTTTTTTTTTTTTTTTTCATATCATTTGGTGCCTTTTTTTTTTAGGTTTTTTTTTTCATGCCTTCTACTTTTGATCCTTTTCTTGCTTTTATATTTATTTCAGTCGTTTTTTTCTCTTCTCTTTCTTATTTGTTGTCTAGCAATTTATATAACTATTGTTTTAAATGTTTTTGACTAGTTTATTTATAAAAATATGATAACAAAATATTTTTAAAATTGTTCTCGTCGTTTCTAGCCATCACTGCTCTTTGGCTTTGTTGTTTTCCCTCCATGATGTTTTTCCATCTGTAGCTTTTCATAATCGTTGTTCTTCCAACTCTGTTGTATTTTTCTCATTTATAGATTTTCACATGTATAATTGTCGTTTCGCCTCTTCTATCTTGATTGAGTTTAGCTTACTAGCTCAAGAAGCCCCTAAATATGGATCATGTATCTCCCTTTTTGAATTAAGCAATAAGCATAAGCACATTTGAACCCATTGGGCTTTTGATAGGGAGCTTTACAGGATTCTATTTGTTAGCCAGGAAGGCATTCCAATCAAATCTCGTTTCATATCCGTTGAATATACTTGAAATACAATCCTGCCTACTTTGAATCTTTTTTGGACATTAATGTTTTAATTAATTTTTTTATGAGGAAAACATTTTGAGTTTCAATAAAAATAAATAGCATAAAGTTTGGAGATTGAAAGTAATTAACACAATTTTGATAAATGCTCATTTACCGCTCGGTTTTAAATGCTCATTTACCGTTCTGTAAAACCAAGAATACTCACTCATAATTATAGAATATATTATTCAAAAGTTTAGTAGGGACAAATAAAACGTGAAAAAAAAAAAAACGGAATTGGTTCCAAACACGCTAATAATTTTTTAAAAAGGTAAAAAAAACTTTAGGGGAAACTTTAGGGATAAGTTATAATTTTTTAATTCTTTTAAATTGCGTTTCAAAACCATAATTTTTTGGCAAAAAAAGA